TCGGAACAGTTGAATCCCTCCTGATTCCACCAGCCAACCCCAGGGAATGAGCTCAGCCAAGTGTCTGACTTCAGCTGATTCTGTGTGGTACAGAAGAGCCATCTAGCCCAGCCTTGCCTGAATTATTAACCTACATAAACCCAAGTGAATGGTTAAGTTGTTGTATTAAGCAGTTTTTGTTTTCCTGTAGTTTATTTGCAGCAGCAGAGAACTCAAACCATGGATTCATGTATCAAGTTAGACAACGACTTGATTACTTTTATTGCACCTTTTGATGTCATGATTCCAACATTAATAATGTAGGAATGCAATAAATTTTATTTAATATTTTGTTTTCTTTTTCTGGGAACTCAAGTATGGGTTGGATTTGGGGAAGTCAGGAAGCAAGGATAAACTCCTTTCTCTCAAAAAACCTTACAATAAGGAAGAGACTGTGAGTAACTTTTTCCCTAACCACACCCAGAGGACTACGCTAGGGCACAACAGTACCTTCAGTAGTCTGGTATGAGCAAGAGTAGAGAGCAGAGGAGGTAAGTGAAAGGAAGAAAAATCTGTGGGTGAAAGAGATAAAAGGTCCATGATGTGTGAAATCAGACATAAGTCCAGAAGCATAGGCTGTGGAGTCTTTGAATGCTACTTTTAAGAGTGTGGGCAACGCCCCTGCCAAGGTGGACTCGAGGCCAAAAAAGGCTTTGGGAAGGATGAATCATCAGACAAAAAGGTGCAAACAAAAGGGAAGAGGGGAGCAAAGGGCAAACATGCAGAAGTGGCCACCAGATCTGCCTGCAGAGAACGTAGAAACAGAGAACCAGAGTCTAGCCTCTGAAGCAGAAGAGAAAGAAGCCAAGTCCGACCAACCATTCATCATGTCTGTTAGTGGTCACTGCCTCCCTTCTTGTACAATCCAGAGGAATATTTTTATCAACTATTTTGTAAATGTGAGTTTTTTAGTAGCTCTAGAAATATTTTTAAAAGGTGAGAGGAAATCTCACCTCATCCCATTTTTTAAGTGTAAATGATTTTTTTAAGAGGTTAAATCATTTGCTGGTTGTTTATCTTTTGGTACAACCAGAAAACAAAATGCTGAATCAGGAGAGGCTGTGACGTCTCGGGGGTCACCATAACTCTTGGTAGAGGGGGCTAGTTTTATATTCTACAGCATAAAGCATACTAAGTGGTAAATTTGTGTCTGCAATATTTTGAGTTGTATCTGGTCTCATGTTTCTAGTAGAACTATCTCCAAAAAAACCACTCCTCGGTCCTGGTCTTGTCAGAACTGTCTCTGTTGGTCATGGCTGCCCATTTTCCTACCAGCTGTGATAATGTCTGTGAAAGGTGGACATTCTGAGTATGTACTGTGTGTGTCAGAAAATCATGAGTCAGTGGTGCTGAGGGTTGTGAGCATTTGAGTGTTACTACGGAAAACCCGACACATGTGAGGCCAGAACATCACTGGAATAAGTTCAGAGAGAAACAACATGTGGCTCTTGGGGGTACGTGAACACAGTGTATGACTCTTCAGAGATGGGGTGCATGTGTTACGAATTGAAATGTCTCTGTACTCTGCTCTTCAACAAATAAAATTGCAGTTGTGAAAGTGTAAAAAAACAAAGTGTGGGCAAAACCACACTGGGTTAATTTTAGGATGATGGAGACAATATGATTCCAGTTATAGCTTCAGGAAAAGAGGTCAGTTTGGAGATTTTTGCAGTGGTTAAGATGTGAAGTTGAGATGGACTCTGACTGTAGGCAGAAAAGAAAGGTTGGACACAGAGAAGCATTGGTGATGGCTTAACTAGCAGGGTATGGTGGGATTGGAAGGAAAAGAACCAAAGGCTTGTTTGTCACAGGCTGGAGGATGGGTAGATGGTGTCATCCTTCCTACATGGAAGCAGGATGCAGGTGTGGACTTGGAGGGGAATGAACATGCTTGGGCCAGCCATGTAGAGGACTTAATTCTGTAGAAGAGAGAACTGGGGTGGATAGAGGTTAGAGAGGAAAGAATTTGAGGAGGGGATGGTTGAGGGAGGGGATGAGCCTTGCTTGGGATGGTATGCCTTGAGGGTGTGGGCAGTTTCTTCTAATTTTCCAGGGTGTTGAAAAGGTAATGCTGACAAATTACTTTAGAAAATGGAAGTAAATTACAGGATCTTCCTATGAGCTTGCAATGGAAGGCCCACATGGAACATAGTGCAAATTGGTAATCTGTTTTTAAAAGTATCTCTGCCTTCAGCTGCCCAGCATGCTCATAGCTCTGCTTTCAAACCATAGTATCTGGCAACAAACAAATAATGAAATAAACAAAACAAAACATACAGTAGAAAACCATTCTCTTGTGGGCTGGAGAAAGGGTTAAGTTTAAGAGCACTGACTGCTCTTTCGGAGACCCTAGATTTGATTTTCAGCATCTATGTCTCCACGTGGATGCTAACAACAGTCTGTGGATGTTGCTATACATGTGATACACACAGCAGGCAAATATACATGCAGGCAAATACACACATAAAATAAAAATGAGGGGGGAAAAGCACATTAAAAAAAAAGCCCAAATAAAATAGACCTCAAACCAATCCATTATCTTGGGTTTGACAACATTAGAACGCAATATACATGCATACAAGAGTGCTTCTGTAGAAAAAAAGGAGATGCTGGGGCCAGATACTATCTGTACCCTGCTACTCCCTTCTCAATTGTAAGGCCACTTCTAGATGCTTTTGCTCAAGATCACAGAATAAGGCGCACTGAGAATCATGCTCTCTCTCTGCTCCCATCATGTTCCTTCTTGACTCCCAGGTCCCTGTTTTTACTGCCCCTGCTCTTTACTATTAGATTAGAGTTCATTTTAGAGACTGGATGACATTCCCGCCAAACATCAATGTCTTGGTCCCAGTAAGATCATAAATGGTGGTCAAACTTTCCATTTCTCACTTTCTTACCTCTTGAAAATTGTACGCTCAGGGCTGGAGACATGGTTGAGTGAGTAAGAACACTGGCTCTGCTGGGCAGTGTTGGTGCATGCCTTTAATCCTAGTACTTGGGTGGCAAAGGCAGGTGAATCTCTGAGTTTGAGGCCAGTGTGGTCTATAGAACAAGTTCCAGGACAGCCAGAGATGCACACAGAGAAACTCTGTCTTGAACCCTACCCCCTTGGGGGGGGGGGGGAAGAAAGAAAAGGAAAAAGGAAGAAAGAAAAGAACATTGGCTTCTCTTCCAGAAGACTGGAGTTTGATTTCTAGCAGCCACATAGTAGCTAACAGTCAACCATCTGTAACTTCAGTTTCAGGGAATTCAATATTCTCTCCTGGCTTCCTCGGGCTCTGATGCAAAGGTATACAAGAAGGCAACACACCCATAGAGATAAAAAAAAAAAAAAAAAAAAAAAAAAGAAATAAACACTTCAAAAACACTTCAAAAACTTCACAAGGCTGTCAGGAATACACCAACATGACCCTGTTTGCCTTCTCCATCTCATGGGACATCATAAGCCCTTTTCTCTTTACTATTCACTAATCCATGTGGCTTGAAGAGGGGGGAATGAATAACATGGCTCCAGTCCTGTGGTTCTGGAATGTGGCATCTCACAGGGCACAGTGGCACTGTAGGAACAAAATACAGCAAAAATGTCGACTTCTTCCAGAAAAAAACATTTGTCTCTGTAACTTTTTCTACTGGGGTTAAGTAGAACCAAGCCTCAGCAGTAAGCTATTGCTGATGGATTATCAGGAGAAGGGGGATGGAATCATTTCAGGGGGTCTTGGGCAGCCAACAGAGTCCCGTCTGGGAGGGATGTGAATATTTGTATAGCTGCCTCTTGGTTGGGTTGCACTTTGGCTGCTTAACTTATTAAGATGGACTTTTCTTCAGAGATCTCAGGCTGACTCAATAGTTCCCATGGTTTCCATAATGAGGATGTTTAGGTAATTTTAGTTGTGAGAGTTAAGCCATTTTAGTGAGTCCTCAAGGAGAAAGATGCAATTCTGTGGATTTGTAGCTGCAAACTGTTTTCTTTTGTTGTCTCTATCTTTGTGAAGAGGTTTGCCTTTGTCACCGTGAATGGCCAGTCATTTTCCTTTGAGAGGGGAGGTTGTTGTAGACCACTGGCTCCCTGGTAGTGTCCCACTCTCAAGAGGAGAAATAGCTGAGCAATGACAGTGTTATTTAACGTTCTGCCTCCTGTCACCCACAGCCGGGTGGTGTAGGAACTTCACATTGTAATTTGATGCGGGAAAATCCACACACCAGTCCTGACCCTTTGGCCGTTCTCTCAAGTGCAGTTTTCTCACTATGGGCTCAATTGCCCCTGCCCGCTTCATCTATAATGAAGTCTGAGACTTCCAGTACTTCAGAACATAACTGTATTTGAACACAAGGTTCTTACAGAGGTAATTTTAGCTAACATGCAATCTTTAGTGTTGGTTAGGCCTGAATACAGTAAGACTGGTGCCCTTCTAAGAAGAACTCGGACACGGTGTGAAGCAGTAGGAAGGAGGCCACCTGCAGGCCAAGGAGAACCTTCAGAAGGAACCAACCATGCTAATGTGTGTTAGGCCTTGCCACCTCTAGAACCGTGAGCAAACACTTTCTTGTTTAAGCCATATAGGCAATGATCCATTATAACAGCAAGTTAATACAGTTTGAATCTGAGGCTCTTGGATCTGCCAGCAGTCAACTGTCTGCCTTGAAGATCCCTATGATAAAGAATCTAAAGTGTCTGTGGCAGGATGCTTTGGTTGGTGTCTTGTGGACTGAGTGACACAGTGACCATTGTCAGAGATTAGGGAGCCCAGTGGGGAGGAAAAGGAAATGCATTAGGTAAATATGAAGGGCCATGTTTATTTATTACTTATTTAGGTTTTGACTGCACATATGCCTGCAGGCCAGAAGAGGGCACCAGACCTCATTACAGATGGCTCTGAGCCACCTTATGGTTGCTGGGAATTGAACTCAGGAGCTCTGGAAGAGCAGCCAGTGCTCTTAACCACTGAGCCATCTTTCCAGCCCAAAATATGGAATGCTTCATGAATTTTCGTGGCATCCTTGTGTATGGGCCATGCTGATATTCTCGGTACTACTCCAATTTTTTTTTAGTATATGTGCTACTGAAGCGAGCACAGCTTACAGTTTTCTATCAGTCAGGAACTGCCTTAGGATTTCCCGTGTCAAAGCCACCATGTCCATTTTGAGAGATGTTAGCCAAAATGCTGAGAAGCTATTCTGTGTCTACTGTAACCCCATGTTTCTCTCATCTTGGGTGTCCTGATGGGCTGTCTGTAGTCATCTCTACTTCCTCCCTGTAGTGCCTAGATAAAACAGTCCCTCTGTTCCATAAGGGCTGCTCCTGCCATGTTCTCTAGATACTTCCAGCTATCACAGCCAGCTGTCTCTGGTACCTTTCTTATTTTTGCAATGTCTCAGTAGGCTTCATTTTAGCTCACTACTCTCTGCCTTAAATGCTCCTTCTTCCTAGTTGTTCACAGGCATCCTTCCTTCTAGGTTATCTTAACCTTGCTTCTCTTTATTAGTCTTCTTTTCTGATTCCAACTCTTTCTTTTGAGTTGTAAATGTAGAGTGGCCTGAGACCCTCTTAATCTGCTGTCACACCACTAGTTTCCCTCTATCTGTATGTAGATGTCTCCTCAGTTAGTATGAATACTTGAGCTTTGCCCTTAAACCCCGTGCTCTCTTTTTCCAGCCCCAAAGTGTCATTTAAAAATTTAGGATTTAGAATTTATAGTTATAGTACCTTTTCCTTTTTTTTAGTCATTAATATAGTACCTAAAGCTAGGGGAAAAAAAAAACTATACACCACAAAAACTGAGAGAGGAAAGGTGATATGAGAAAATATCAAAACAGAGACAGGGGTTTTGTTCAGGAACTCAGTGGGGGGTATAGGAAGGGGGCAGGCAGTGAGATGGCTCAGTCTAGAACCTCAGAGGGCCAGGGTTTGGAGGAACCAGATACTGCAAGAAGTGGTGCTGAGGACATGAGGTTGGCTGCAAGTTCTTTTTGTGGAGCAGCTGGATTTGTTTACCTCCATTTCACTTATTTCACATTCATGTTACTGAATATATCTCTTCTTTTGTCCAGAAGGAAGTGGGAGGTAAATAGGGAAAGACCTGAGCTATCAGGCAGAATGGAGAGAGTTGTGTAGGAAAGAAAGATATATTAAGTCAAGGTCTGAACCTGGGGCAGTGGGAAGATAGAGGGGTGCTCCAGGGTGTACAGGGAAGGTGAATAATTGTTCTGCAGTGCATTTGTCTCTATTAACAGTTATAGCCACTTAACACCAGTGTGTTAGCTCTGTCCCAGCTACCGAATCTCTTGTAAACTAGTGGAAAAAAAAATACTATATTGGCCACAAGAATATGTCTGCTATCAGACTACCTTTTTGGAACCAGGTCTCAGACATTGTACTGTAGACTAATCTGACTCCCTGAAAATGAATCCTGGAGTTACTGGAACATCTGGTCAACCTCATTTTCACAAATAAGCTATGTCAGAAACACAGTGAACATGTTTGTATCCTTCCACAATACTAGACAATATTGAATAGACTATATCACAGACTATATCAATTCTGTTCACTTTAATTCACCAAGTACTACTATTACCAGAATTACTAAGATCAGAGCTTGAGGTCTGGCAGCTCTACCAAGTTAAGCTTGGCCACTCATCCTCAATAGGCTTATTAAACAGAGAAATGATAATGGTATGTAGAGACAGGAGATTTGTCTGATGTGGCCACATTGGGAAGAGGAGTAAATAAAGTGGTGCAGTGGAATGGTCTCCACTCCATTCTCAGAACTCTTAGAATTACTAGAGGGTCAAAGGTATGTGTAGCTAAACATTCCTTGATAAGGTGTAGTCTCATTGATTCATCATTATTGTCTTTATTCCAGTTTTTCTAGCAAGGTGGGTTAACAGGCTGTCAGAACTGTATAAAGGCAGACAAGTTCCTCAGTGTCTGATATCAGACTCCAGCCTTTTCCTTCTAGTGTGAGAAACCTGAAAATTCCAGTTTCTTGGGGACCATTGTTCCATTAGTCTTATCCAAAGGGGAGGAACACAAATGTCACTGTAGAATATATTCATTTCTGCTAGAAGGAGTATATACTAATTTCACTTGGTCGACATGGCCAATAGCAACCAGTGTTTTTTTGTTTTAATCTTAATTATTATTATTAACTCTGAAATCACACATTGCATTTCACATGATAGAGTAGTAAGTATGTACTAAGAATGGCTTTGAACAGGTCAAAGAGGCATACAGGTTTCAGTGGAGGCAAAGAGGCTATCTAGATGAAAAGAAAAGTTTCAGTAGAGAACCATATAAGTAGTTTTATAAACCACAGCTGTAGAGCTTTTCAAAGCACAGAGTTGTCAGATGTCAGGTAGCAGGCAGTTTTGAATGCTGTTTTACAATTGGATACATGACATAGGCAAAGAAACTGCTTAAGGTGGAGCCTGTGGAACAAGGCAAAGTCTTTTGCTGTAGCAATTTTTCAGGATGAAACTTGTGGCAAATGACTGGGTGGTGGGTCAGTATGTCTTCTACATCTTGGTCTTGTGTGCACCTTTCTATAGTCTTAGGTGAGAGGCTTACATCTGGTATGATTGATAAACTCATGAATGGTATTTCCAGTATGATTCTTTATATTCACATGCATAATAGTTTATTGGTACAAATACATTAGTTATCAGTTTGTGCCTCATAATGGTGGTTGTTTACTTGAATAAACAAGTTATAGTGTCATCTTACCACTAAGCCATATGGTATAGTAACTGAGCTCAGAAATGTTCCTTTGGGAATGGTGAGAGTGCTTAGAAAGTAAAAGTCCTTCCTACTAAGTCTGATGATTTGAATACCATTCCTGGGATCCACCTTGTGGAGGGAGAGAACCAACTTCCACAAACTGTTCTCTGATCTTTCCCTACGTGCCATGTCATGCATGTCCCCCACCCACACACACATACAAGCATGCACACAAAGTCAATTTTAAAGATGTAATAAGAAACTTTCATGTTGTGGAATGTTATTTTTAAGATGCATTGCATTAGTTTGTGCAGTGTCACATTTGCTTAATGATGCAAAGATGTGTTGCATTCTTTTATGTTGTATTTGTTTAACTCTGTGAAGCTATGAAGCTGTGATTCTTTGCCTGTCTAAAACACCTGATGGGCTTAATAAAGAGCTGAATGGCCAATAGCCAGGAGGAGAAAGAATAGGTAGGGCTGGCAGGCAGAGAGAATAAATAGGAGGAGAAATCTAGGAAGAGAAGATCAAGGGAGTCAGAAAAGAAGGAGGAGAGGAGGACATCAGGGCCAGCCAAGGCAAGCAAAGGCTGAGCATTCATATGTAAGAATAAAGTATCCATGTGATTTATTTAGGAGCTGGGTGGTGCCCCCCCCAAAAAAAAAACAAATAGCAAAGATTAAAAAACAACCAACACTGTTGCTTTATAAAATGCAATATTTCAAGGCTAGCATAGCCTGAAAGCTGCTATTCTACATAGTTGGGGATGCTGACTACTATGTGCATACTCATATACTGGGAAGAGGGACAGAAAGCATGTGGAATGAATAAACAGGGACCAGAGCTCATGCAGGACCTTGTCTGGCCTTGGAAAACAAGGTTGCCCTTCTCAGTCCTGCTGGGGAAAGAGAAGGAGAAAGAAATCGACAAATGAGGCATTTCAAATCATGACTTTGCATAAAGCACAAGGCCTGGCTCGGGAAATTTAAGGAGGATTTAAGGACAAATTTGCCTGCTCACTGCTGACTCCTGCTCAGAAACCACACAAGAAAAACAAGACCTCAGATAATCTTACAGAAAGGAGCTCCAAAGCCTTCCAACTGATGGTTCTTCAAAGATGGTTCCTCATGCAGTGGCCACAGAGTGAAGCTTGTCTCTCAGTGAAGCTGGCTACATGCTTAGCTTCCCATTCAAGCCTGACTTACCTCTTCACTGTGAACAGACAGGAAGGGCACATCCAATAGCAACCTTCTTTTTCTAGGAGTGGCAGGCACCAAATCAAATAAATGCAACAAAACACAAAAGAAATAGATCCCAGTCAGAGTAAAAGGCAAGACAAGACTGCCACATTTCTGAAACAAATACAGGATGCACCCACATGAAAGAGATGTTAGCAAATAAGAATGAGGGTTTAAAAATCACACATGGCACACAGAAAGAAAACAGCTCACAACTGGTGAAACAGTTGGAAGATGAAGGTAGGAGTGACTTCAACCAGGAAGTAGAAACAAGGAAAGACAAAATGTGGAAAAGAAGAGAGGAAAGATGGAGTCTTTAGGAGACAGAATCAAGCTGACCAGCACTCGACAAAGAGGAGTCCTATAAAAAGAGAATTGAGGGAACTCATCCAGGCAAAGAAGCAGTATTGTACTGGACAGGCGTGCGACTCTCCCCTGAAGAAAGCCCTCTCAGCAGGGCACATCATTGAAAATGCTTTAGAATCAACAAACAAACCTGATGCAACAAAACAAGGCATCACTGAGGCCAGTCTGATCTACAAAAGTGAGTTCAAGGACAGCCAGGACTGTTACACAGAGAAACTGTGTCTAAAATAATAATAATAATAATAATAATAATAATAATAATAATAATAGGAAAAGATGCTCAGAGATACAGAGATACATCTGCTCCCTGCTCTCACTGTTAGGAGTTTCACAGAAACATTAAGCTAACAGCCATATCATATACACAGGGGGCCTGGTACAGACCCATGCATACCCCATGCTTGCCACTTTAGTCTCTGTGACCCTTATGAGCCATGCTTTGTTGATTCAGTGTGCCATGTTCTGCTCCTTTCTGAAGGGAAATGGAGGGGAAGTGGAGGGAAGGGAAACTGTGATTGGGATATATTGTATAAGAGAAGAATCTATTTTCAATTAAAAAAGAAAAAGAATTGAAAAAAATTGAAAAGAAAAGAATACCCATGGTAATGAGATTGCAGATTTCCAGGGAGGAAACAAATACGCTATTCAGCAGTTGAAAAGGTGGCAGTAATGCTGGAAGACAAGGTAGCAATGCTTTTAATTAATCAGGTTCTGTGATCAGCTAAATTAGTAGTTGAGTGTGAGGCTGGCTTAGCAATATCTTCAGGCAAACACTCAGAAAGAGGCTCTGTGTATTCTGAGATAAGTGGCTGTAGAAGGAAAATAGCTACCAGTGAAACAGGGCTCTATCTCTGAGAAGGTTCCAGGTTCAGAGACGGGTCCTGAAGTGTGGATGGAAAGGTGTCTAGGAAGTGGGCAGCATAGCACATAGAAGAATGAAAAATGGCTCCCAGGGGAAGGCTGTCCCTCTGAAAAAGAGGGCAATACTGTATTTATAAGAACTCATACATGGTTGAGCTCAAAGTTTACTATACTTGATAGGAGTTTGGGAAAATTCAGTATTCTGCTGGAAGCAGAATAAAGCAACTATTAAGCCCAGAAAAAAAACAGCTATGGCAATGATACTTGAAAGAAAAGCTCATTCCCTGCCATGTTTTCCAGAATTTAAGATGCCATTAATCATAAAACATATCATTATGAGAAGATAAAATAAAACTGTTCTTAGTACAAAGAAAAGTTGTGTTATACAGCGTGTGTAAGCTGCAAGTATTTCAAAAGGTTTAAAAACATTCTTTATAGTTGATGAAAGTAGCAACCTCTCTGGCTTGCTATATTCCTGTGTCTAAAAACTTATGTAACAAAAATCTAAGGCAGAATTTAAGTTTTGGGATTCGTAAGTCAAGAATGAAAAATATTAGGGGGCAGGGAGATGGCTGACTCAGGCAGTGACGTAGTTGCCACATAAGCATGAGGACCTAAGTTCAATTCCCAGCATCTGTATAAAATACAAGGCTCAATGGTGCCCTGGGGTTGGGGAAGAGGTTTGGTGAACTATTTTTCATTATCCACCTGTGTAAGTTCTGAGTGCATAAATGCTATTTTCATGTAAACATGGGTAGGAAAACACACATACATATACAGCCTTTTTGGAACTTGTGGGACTTGCAAAAAACAAGAGATTTAAGACTAGTAGACCTATGGTGTTGTCAATACTGTATCCAGGCTGGTCAAGACATTCTGCTATGTCCAGATGGACAGGATATAGAAAGATCAGACACTGCTCTCTGTATCCACACTCCTTCTTGACTTCCAGTAGAAGCAAGTCTGAGTATGGCCCAGTCCCCTTATCTTTGTAGAAGGCTTAAGAGTTTAGACATTGCTGGGCTGGGGAGTCACAGTGCTGGCCTGGGATGTCACAGTGGTGAGAACTTGTTTAGCATGGATGAGGATCTAGGTTCAATCCCCAGTACTGCAGAACAGCAAATAAAGTTTGCTGCAATATACCAATCCATTTGATTCTTAACCAAGTGTGACTATCACATTTCAATATTGTGAGGACCAAGAGGAGAGTGGTAGCTGCTGGTCACTCCAGACAGCCCAGACTTACTACCTGCAGAATCCCACAGGCAGTACCCTATTCAAATGCCGCTGTGTCTCAATAATTTTCCAGAGGAAAGAGGAAGAAGAGAGGAGGCGAGGAGAAGAACAGATTCGTCTCCAGGAGGAACAGAGAGCCAAGGAACTCTATTGGACCCTGAAGCAGGCCCAGCTGTACTGCCAAGTCAGTGAGAAAGAGGAACGCGAGTGGGAAGAGCAGTGTGAGTTGAGCTGTGTCCTGGGCCCCAAGGCTGCCTGGCTTCCCCTCCCAGCTCCCCCCACTTTGCATGTGCTTTGCCATCATTTCAGCCTCCTTCCCCACCACCCAAGGCTTTCCCCGTGTGCGCGGCCCTGCTGGAGTAAGGGCTGCACTCTCAAGGAGCTTGCGCACCTGCCCTGGAGATGTCTTCCATTAAAGAATGAAACATTACATTTTCTCAGTTGCCAATAATTGCCTGACTCTATGCTGTTGTTTGACTTACTGTTCTGATGTATGAAGAGAAAACATTTAATTGGAGACCTTCTTATAGTTTTAGAGGGTTAGTCTATGACTATGATGACAGGAAGCAAGCAGGTATGGTGATAGAGTAGTGGCTGAGAGCTTTAAATCCTGACCTGCATGAAGCAGGCAGAAGTGTGTGTGGGGGTATACACACACACACATACACACACACACACACACACACACACACACACACACACGCACACAGAGAGAGAGAGAGAGAGAGAGTTAGAGAGAGATAAAGACAGACAACAAACAGATACACAAAGGGAGACTGAGTCAGAAAGACAGACTTAGTCAGGGAGAGAGAGAAAGAGAGAGACTGGGACTGGTATGGATTTTGAAATCTCAAAGCACACCTCCAGTGACACACCTACTCCAACAAGCCCATACTTGCTGGCTGTGGTGGTTTGAAAAAAAAAATGGACTCCATAGGTCCTTTTGAGTGGCACTATTGGGAGGTATGGCCTTGTTGGAAGTTGTGGCATTGTCTGAGGAAGTTACTGGGAACTGGCTTTGAGGTCTCAGATGCTCAAGCCAGACTTGTGGCTCACTGTCTCTTCCTGTTGCCTGTGGATCCAGGTGTAGAACTCTCAACTACCTCTCCAGCATCATGTCTGCCTGCATGCCACCATGCTTCCTGCCATGACAATAAACTGTAAGCCAGCCCCGATGAAATGTTTTCCTTTGTAAGAGTTTCTCTGGACATAGTGTCTTCACTGTAACCAAGACATGCCCCAATCCTTCCTAAGCAGTTCCACTAACTGCAGACTAGTCAGTCAAACCTATGAGCCCAGGGAGGTATTCACATTCAAACTACGAGCTGTGCTCTGGAGACTTCAGATATTGATACTTAGAGGCCTTATGTTAGTGGCACTTCCAGTCAGAACAGATAGATACATGGACTCAGGACTTTGGGGGAGAGGTGTGGCAGGTACTTTTGGAGCATGGGTTTGGCTGTCCTGATGGGCTCCAAGGGAGTAGAATGAAGTGAGCCCTGGCATTGGCTTAGGAATTATTGTGGCAAAGAAAACTCTGAGTATTTTTTATTTGTGTGTATGTGTGTGTGTGTGTGTGTGTGTGTGTGTGTGTGTGTGTGTGTGTGTGTGTGTGTGTGTGTGCATGTACATGTGGGTACCTATGGCGATCAGAAAGGGTGTCCGGTCCCCTGAAACTGGAATTGTAGGTGGCTGTGAGTGTCCCAGTGCTGGGAACTGAGCTCTGGTCCTCTTCAAGAGCGGCTAGCACTCGTAACCGTAGAGCCGTTTTACCATCCCCAAAGAGAGCACTTTAGATGGAGGCCAGCATGTGCAAAGGCACAATGACAATGGGACACTTTCTTGGTGGTGTCCTTTGAAATGCCCTGTGATTTTTGTAACATCTAAGAAATCAGTTGTTTGCTTCCAGGACAAGGCAACTTACACTCATCTCTCTTCTAAGAGATTTACAGGTTTAGCTCTTATGTTTAAGCCTCTGCTATGTTCTGAGTTAGTTTTTGTGTGAAGTGACATTCCTGATTGACTCAATTGTCAGAGTACCATTTGTTGGAAGGGCTATTTTTTCAAAGCTCTTGGCACCCTTGTAGAAATATTTACTCAAGCAATGTCTGCTCCCCACTCTCCCCAGAGCTCTCAGCTCTGTTCCGCTGACTTATTTGTCTGTTCTCATGCCAGTAGCACTGTTGGTGATAGGAGACTTGCAGTCAGCTTTGAAACTGGGTAGTGTAAGACCTCCGTCACTGTTTTCCTTTCTTGGGATTATTTTGGTTTATTCTGAGACCCTTTTATTTCTGTACGTTAGGATCAGCTGGTCTAGTTCTGAAATGATAGCAGCTGGGATTTTGATAGAGATTGCATTGTATGTCAATATGGGGAGTATTGCCATCTTCACAATACTTTGTGTCAGACATAATGGGATAGTGCCTGAAATCCCAGTGTAAGTTCAAGGCCCGACTGGCTTATATAGCAAGTTCAAAGACTTGTTCAGCTTGTATACTGAACCCCTCTTTCAAAAAACAGAAAAACATAAAACAAACCATCAAACAAACGAGCCAACGAGGTGGGGGGGGGGGCTGAAAAGATGGCTCAGTGGTTAAGAACATTTACTGTTTTTCCATAGGACTTCACTTTTGTTTCTAGCATCTGTGTCAGGTGGTAATATAAACATACAGGCACATACATACACATAATTAAAATAATAAAAATAAATCATGCAAAACCCCTGAGCAGTAGGGATGTAGCTCAGTGGGAAAGCACATGCCTAGCAAGAGTGAGGCTGTGGGTTAAATCTTCAAGATTTCAAAAACAAAATAATTTTCTAATTCTTGAATATAAGACAGCATTTCATTTAAATCTTATTTAATTTCCTTTAATAGTAACAATCATAGTTATGCCCTGTTTTTATAAATTTTTTTCCTGAAGTATAAATGGGCTGCATCTAGATTGTGCACTGGACTCTTGTATATTGATCTTACATGCTGACCTCTCACTACATTTATTGGCTCAAAACTTCATATTAGGATGAAGTGTTTGATTTTAACTGGGTGTGTTAATGAGGTGAGCCAAAGGGACTTCTGATTGGGGGATTTCAGTATTTTGATAGCTGGACTTTGGTAGTCAGCCTCAGGAGGCTAAATAAGAGTAATAATTGCTGGCTAGCTTTAGGAATGTAATCTAATGGTTTTCAGCAAGGCAGAAGGAATGGGGGAGAAGGGCAAGGCCTGCCAGAGCCACATGCCCCAGTGTGCTGATGTTCCTTCACATATGGGTGTTTATACATATGTGTTTAGGTGCACATGCACATTGTGTAAGTGTATGCATGTGAACATGTGGAAGGTAATGTTGATGTCTGACAGTGGGTGTCTTCCTCTATTCCTCTTACTCATTTTTTTGAGACAGGGTGTGTGCATGTGTGTGGGAACACACGTGTGTGTCTGCAGCAGTTGTTGGATGCCCTTCATCTGAAGTTACAGGTGCTGTGTGCTGGGAACCAAATTCCAGTCCTCTGGAAGACCAGTGCATGCTGTTAACCTCTTAGCTGTCCCTTTAGCCTCATCCTCAGAGGTAATTAACTCACCTTGGCTCTTGACAGCCTTTACATTCATCCCATCTCTCTCTCTCTCTCTCTCTCTCTCTCTCTCTCTCTCTCACACACACACACACACACACACAATTGAGCCCTGAGACACTTGGCTTCTGTGACATATTTGTAGTTACGACTAACGCTGACAATGCATGCACAAGTCACTGTAGCCACATCCTAGGGTTCATAATGTACCATGATGAAAAAATGAGGCTGGAAATATAGGCTAAAGAGGAAGCTAAATAATTTTAAATTCAGAATGGAGGGAGAGATAAGTGGAAGAAGGAGAAACGGCAACACTTACATGAAGCTGCTGATGTTACTGCGGTGAACATTGACTGGATACCCTGACCACTTATCAGAGTGACATCACGCAAGTTCTGTGGGGTTGTTCCTGCTGCATGAAGAGAGAGGACCTAAGGCTAGAGCACTTCTGCAGAGCTCCTTGGCTGCTGTTTTACATGGGGTGGAGACTGGAAATTTTTGCTTGTTTGTTTTTTTGAGGCAGGGTTCCTCTGTGTAGCTTTGGAACCTGTCTTGGCACTCTCTCTCTCTGTAGACCAGAGTGGTCTCGAGCTCACACAGATTTGCCTGCCTCTGCCTCCCAAGTGCTGGGATTAAAGGCATTCACCACCCCTGGCTGGAAATCTCATCCTCTGAGAACAGCCTGATTAAAGCTCAGTGTGCCATGTGGCAATGGAAACAGCTCTGAGACCTGGAAATACATGATAATTCAGGCTCTCTGTTTGGAGGCTCTCATTTCCTATTTTCTTAAAGAATGATGAGCTGAACTTAGAGCATGTCATTCAAATCTAGCAAATCCATTCTGCACTCAATTAACTTAATCTGAAAGATGCAGTGGGCCATTAATCTATCAGAAACAGCAGTTTTGATAAAAGAGTCAAATTAAATCCTCCAACTGAGACAAAAGGGAAAGATGGCTCTCAGTATCACTGGAGTGGAGAGTTAGTTACTCAGCTCAAATCTTAGGGGTCTGGCTTCTGAAACCCTCTGGAGAGGTCAGACAGGGCAGTTCGTTAATGATTTTTCAACTCTGAGCTTGTAGGGGCATGGAGCTGGGGACTATTTAGATGGTCAGATACTTAGAGAGGATCCAGCAAGTGATATTCTTTATAGAAACCAGACATTTAGTATTGTTGCTGTGAGGTTAAAATGTAATGAGGCTTGTCCATTTTGAGTAGGAGTTGTGGTCACTCTGGATCCTCTGACTGTGTGATTTGGGTTGTGGCTCCAAATCAACCTTCTACATGCCACTGCCTCACTCCTTGCCTGGTTGCCAAGGGAACTGCCTGAGAAAAGTGTTCCCAAAGCCTGGCACAGGGCCCAGTGACCTTGGTTCCATCTCCTTCCCTCTTACAAGGAAGTGGGTCTGAGTTCTCAGTTGAATGTTGGCAGTTCTGAAGTGCTAGAGGTTTGGGACAAGGTGAGCCAGGAGGAGCTGTGGAGAATGGAGCTTGACTGAGAAGGATGTGGACCAGAAGTTAAGGGCGGGAAGAGCGTTTGATGTCCTCTGCATCGGCCCATCTAAGTGTGATGGTTGATTCCAGTGGGAAAGCTTGATTGGATTAACAAATGTGTTAGGTGTTTCCAGAGAAGATTAACTGAGGAGGATGGTGA